TACTACTACTGCTACTACTGATACTACTACTACTACTACTACTACTACTACTACTACTACTACTACTACTATCTACTACTGCTGCTACTACTACTACTACTACTACTGCTGCTAGTACTACTGCTAGTACTACTACTACTACTACTACTACTACTACTACTACTGTGATGATGATGATGATGATGTTGATGATGATGATGGTGATGATGATGTTATCACTATTATTAGCATTATTCTTATGGTTGTTATGAACTGCTAATAATTATCACTGGGAGCTCTAGAACATTGCAGAAACCTGGATCGAGAGACTGAAGGAACCAGGCATCTACACAAAGAGCGACATGAATGCCGTACGCATCATACGGTAACATACAATCAGATTTCTACAACACTTTATCATTAACCCTCCTCAGATAATCAAAGTTGCTGCGAAGAGCAGAAATCCCAATTCGTGAGCTCCTCTGTATTCCATTCCCATTGAGCCGGGCATCTCGCTGCGTGTGGAATTTCGTTGGGTTGAGGTCATACTTGTGACAAACCTTCAGGGCGGTGGTAAAGGGTTTTTCTTCGGTCCTTATCAGCCCAAACACCGAAAGATGTGAACCCTAGAACCCTAAACCAGAGAAGCCAAACACCCTACACTGCCGCCGGCCGTCGCGAATGGGGCCTCTCACATGGGGGCGTATGGGCGCTTGCCTCCTAAGAGCTGCTGCTGAACCCGTGAGCATGAAGGCTGCTCTGACTCCAGGTCTGCAGCTGCTGCTCGCAGCTTTGTCATGTCTTCTGAAATTACCATGCGAGCTTGCACGTGGCAGGGCGAGCAAACATGCACAAACGCAAAACGCACGAAAATGACGGCAAGTGTGGGATGTTTTGGCGCGTCGCGGATCACCAAGATGGTGCACAGTTGGGCGCACTTGCAACTCCTGCGCAATGCTCGCTGCCACAGTGTACGCGTGCTCGGCATTATCTTCGCAAGATTTGTCGGAAAGGGTTCCAAGCGCAAGTCGAGACCTCATCATCCAAATTATAATGAGAATCCCAGTCGATAAGTACTGCGAAAGGGCACAGTGTGACACAATTGACACCAAATTATACTTTTGAGGCTCAGCATACCTTACGCCTCCATTACAGCGCCCCCACTAGCGACTCTCTCTTACACTGTTGCACATTCCAAAAACGGTGGCGCTGACCCTTGAATCCCTTTGACCCGTCACCCTCCAAACCGCTGGTGCAGAGGGCCCTTCGTCTGGAGGGTTCGAGGGCTTGAGCTTATAAGGACTTCGGAGTTAAGGTCTCTTGTGAGGAGTCACTGAGTCTGGGCCCAGTTTTGAGCTTTCACATGCGACGCCCGCCAAGTAACATGTACCTGTCGTACCTCCGACTTAAATACATGTACTTGCGAACTTTCTCTAACATTACCCTCCTTTTTCAAAACACACACACACACACACACTCTTAGAGATAAAGGATTCAGGTTTAGGCTTGAAACCGGATAGTATAAAGCCTCAAACCCTAAACCCAACAGTCTTGGGCATCTGGGGGTCGAAAATAGGCCTCAACCCTGGGAGCTCGGGTTTAGGGCTTAGAGTTTAGGGTTTAGGGTTTAGGGTTTAGGATTTAGGGTTTGGGGCCATGAAACTCATTGCACTGGTTTCAGTGGAGACGCCTTCGTGTACAGAACTGCCTCCTGCCCGTCGAACTTCCTTGAACTGAATTGGGGCTTCCGGTGTTTGACACCCTAACCCCTAGACCGAATGCTTGAGTGTTTCAGATTTCGGGTTCGGGTTTACTCGATTGAGGGCTTCAGGCTACACAGCTCGCATAAGAAACAGGCTCGCACAGGAACCCAAATACACAATCGTACGAACACTGTCAATGATACTAAAGCATGAGGAGAAACAAAACAGACTTGAGATTAAACATACTCGTACTAAATGCAAAAATGTTCCAGCACCGCCCAAGTTGGGGCTAGCCTTAAGCGTACTTCGTGAAGCTGGGGGCCTTCGAGTTAAGACCGAAGTTAACGTCTCAAAACAACACCCTAAACTCAAACCTGATGTTACAGGAGCTTGAATAGGTAGAATTCGGTAGAATAGGGTTTGGGGATCTGTTGCAACAATGCAACTGGATATAAGTACCACAAAAACTATGACTATAACAGTTAAGCGGACAGCCGACGAAATTCAGTCTTGACCCCTCACGAACCAGCCCACGAGTTGGAATACCTGATCGGCGGTTCTGCGCAATTGACGAGGAATCATTGACTCATGCTAAAGCCCCAACCAAAGCTGTAAGCAAAGACGAAACATATAATGCTCGCTTCGGGCTTTACGTTAACAGTTAGGGTTGAAAACGCACGGTTTCAAGGTATGTGTCTTTGGGAACTAGCTGCCACCTTGGCTCAGGCAAAAAAACATATACTTCTCTTTTAAACAGTTGGCTTGTACCTGACCGCCAGAGTCCAGGGTTCATGATCTATTCATGCGTCCGTCTCTACCCTGACGAAAATGCCAGAAGCTGCAGGATGAACTAGACTATGCCTGACATCACATCGCAGGTCGTGCACGACAACACTTCTGTAGCTTCATTTTTAGGACACTGCCCTGCGCTGAAATGAGACACGATAGGGATCATTAAAGCGTCAACTCATCTAGGACCTTATTGAGACGAGGCTTTAGGGCCCTTTTCTCGGAACCTGAGCGCACGACAACGACAAGCCTCGAGCCCCTCAAACCACACGTGTATCAGCCACGAGCATCTTCAAAAGCTCCGGGATGGTGGACAGCTTCGCTGGGTTCCGGCGCGTGTAGATGGCCTTCGCAAAATCGCAAACAAACCCTACACCCAAAGTTTTTTTGCCAAAGCACTGAACACCTGAACCCTGTACTCAAACACAAACCCTTATACATCCGCCCCCCCCCCTACCCCCCCCCCAAGCCCCCAATCCCATAGAGCATGGCCCAAACCTCCCGTTAGACTTTCTCCAAGTCTGGCAAGAGAGTCAGGATAGGTTGCAGGATCTCCCCGAGTGGACTTGGGCTGCAAGCACGAGCCCAAATCTCCGTAACCCTAGCCGCTAGCCCTTCTGCAACCCGAACCACAGAGCCCCTACAATGTGTGACCCTAAAGTGCCCTGAACCCTCAAGCCGTAACCCCCATGCCAACACCACAAACCCTGAAACTTGAACCCATGTAACCTTATGCGACCCTAACTGCAACCCCTGGAGTACGAATACGACCCACCCTCGTGTCTGAAAGAAAATGTTCAAGCAAACCCTCCCCTCAACCCCTGAATCCCCATAAACCCCCTGATCTTCCGACCAAGACCCTCCAGTCCCCAAAAGGCCCTCACCTAAACTAAACCCCGAACCCTGTACTCCCCCTCAACCCTGAACACTCGGAGCTCCCAAAACCCTGAGCCCTGAGCTCCCTTAAGTTTAAGCCTGGGAGCCTCCAGCTGCGCTTGCCAAAAGGCGCGCCGCGCCGAGGGCGATCGGCTGCGCTCACGGCCATCCTCCCCCGCCATGGTCGCCGAGAGCCAGCGATTGGAGCTCAGAGTGTAGGCTTTGGGGCTTTTGGGGCTTTTGGGGCTGGGATAGATGAGTTGAGATGAAGCTTTGAGCTTCAGGGTTTCGGGTTTGGCATGCGGGGAGGAGGACTTAGGGTTTAGCGTCTTTAGCAGTTAGGCCTGAGGGTCCGCACCAAAAGCTTCCGTTGAGGTGTGGGTGTACCGGGTTTAGGATTGAAGACTCTACGGTACAGGGCTCAGGGTATGGCAAACCAATGACACACATTTTTTGTTTATGAGCCTTGCTCTTTCGCAGGGTCTTTCGGGTTCAGGGCATAAGAATTGCAGGGCTTCTGGGATACCCTTGCGGGTAGCGGTCGCGTCTTCCTGGCACATTCCGAGCCACGTGGCTGCAGGCAGTGTGGAGGAGTTTTGGGTCTAAGGTCTAGAGAGGCGGAGCAGAAACTCCTTCTTTCAACCCGTAACCCTGAAAGGGAGGTGGGGTTTAAGGTTTTCAACCCAAGACCTTTGTTCGACGATGATCAGCCGCGTGAAGTGCCGGCACAACCCCAATAGAAACCTAGTGTACATGCAAGCTCAAGAACCTTGGCAAACAGGCTTGGTCCTGAACCCGACACCCTCAGCCCAACTTTGAGTTCGCAATCGACGAAATGCAGCGAGTGCTTCAAAACATGCAGGAGATGCGAAATATGACACTACTGGCCGCGATCTGTGAATTGCTTGTGCTGCTTGCGCCAAAGATCAAAGATGTGATGCGTACTTGTGCTCACCTACACCTACCCTGAACCCTAAAGGCTGAAACCTGAAACAACCCCGAACGCTAAGCCGCTAAGGGCTCCTTATTATGAGCTGAGCTTAGGCTTTACAGGTCTGTCGTCGGTTTAGGGCCGAGGGAGTTTAATACAAGGAAGAGCCTTCACAATTGGAATAAGGTGTTGGGATGTAGTCTTACAACGGGAAACCCTAAGGAATAGTAGAACAAACTGTCCCGACCTCTACATTAGACTGTGGAGTTGGGGGTCTCAAAGTCCTGAGGGTCTGACTGGATCGGAGGCGGTGCCTCAAGCAGCAATGCGTAGCTGCTGCTCGTTCGAGTCTCAAGGCTTCAGAGGGTTGATGACCCAGGCTTGCAGGCGGGTTTAGGGTCTGAGCTTTAGGGCTTGTAGAGTTGCGGTCTGGGTAAAAATTTTCGGGTCAAGATTTTGAGATTTGTAGAGCTTAGGCAAACTCGAAGTTAAGACCTTACGCCGAAGTGCTCCGCAGCTACACCTCGTAGCTTCCAAACCACACCCCGACTCCCCCAAGCATATTGCCTACTAGCAAAACCAAGAACTATCCAGCCCAAGCGCTGCACCCGAAACCCCGCGCCCAAAAATCACAGGCTCACGGCCTGGAGTCTCAAACAAACGTTGGGGCTCGCCCACAGAAAACAGTACCCCAAGATAAATGCAGGGGCATCAATAACTAGAAAAGGGCTCTTGGTATGTGTTGCTACCGCCGGCCCCCCCCCATTGCATAAAATCTCGACAATTTCGGCTTGACTTGCTGTAATTACTGCGCATATTAACCGTGATTGCCTTAAGCTCCGAACCCGTAACCGTTCAGACTCTGAGACTTGAGCTAGCAAAGGTCGAGGGTTTGGGGCACAGGGCGAAAGTCAAGGGTGCAAATCTATGAGGCTCGAAATTTAGAGTGGAAGGTTTTGGGGCTTACATGCTAGCCATTTCAATCCCTCAAGCCAAAAGCTCCAAAGCTGAACTCCGCAACTCCCCAGTGCTAGACTTCCAAGCCTATCAGCTTGCAAACGTTCACATGCAGGTAAGCCCTTCTGGCAATTCTCTTTGAGGAACCCCAAATCTTAAACCCTAGGCCTTAGCCGTGAAACCCCAAACCTGCAAACCCAAACCCCCAACATCTAAACCTGATGTCTACTAACTCTTATCTGTGACAGCTGGCCTGCTGCGGGTTAGGGTCTCCACCTTGTGCGATAAACTTCTCCAGCTGCACCTGTCAGATACCCTGACATAGGGCCCTGAGCCATCACGAGGGGGTGTTGGGTCTGTACATTATACCAGAACTAAATGCTAAATGGGGCTTTAAGTATATGTTTACTAGTTATTTATTAGCCATCAAGACCTGACACCTACACACAAACACGCGCGGACACACACACACACAGCTGTTCTGTCGCGCCTCTCAGGTTTTAGGAACAAGGTTTGTCCATCTCTACGTCCTTCGTTTGGGTGACACGGCGTGAATGCACAGAGCAAACCTGAACCCTAAACCGAACATCTCATTTCCAAAGCCTGTGCATGGATCGTCTGTTGACACTCTTTCGTAACGTCTCCCGAAACCCGACACCATGCCTTGATGACTTTTCCAGCTCAACAAGGAAGAACGACAGTTAACCACCGACGCACCCACAACCCTCGACCCAGGTTCAAAACTCGACGCCAGCTCCAAAACGAAATTTCCAAACCGTTCTCCTGTATACACACCTGCAGCTACTGCTGCAGCTACTGCTGCAGCTACTACTACAACTACTATTTCTACTAGTACTAGTACTGCTAGTCTAGTATTACTAGCATTACTAGTATTACTAGTATTACTAGTACTAGTAGTACTACTAGTACTACTACTACTACTACTACTACTACTACTACAACTACTACTAAAACTA